AACTTGGCATGGTGGCAGGAAATAGTATTTCAATTCATTTTAGCCTGGGATCCACTTTTTAAAAATCCAAGATGGCCGCCAATATCCAAGATGGCCGCCAAAATCCAAGATGGCCGCCAAAATATACAATGTACATGGAACACGGCAAAATGAAGTTATTTATGGCATGAAAATGATATGAATTGACATTGTGAGTCAAAAATAGTAATTTCAAGGTAAAAATGCAAAAGTAGCATCGGTCGAAGATTCAATATGGCTTCCAAATCCAAGATGGCCGCCATTAAATAATGGTTTTTGGACAAATTTCTATGATATGGATAATTTATTTGATCAACATTCTTCATATATATAACACACAAATACACTGGCCATCCTGCACAAAAAGCTGCACACATAGGTGTACATTCACAGAGAAAAACTTGCATTTATGGATTAAACCAGAGAGCACGTTATTAAGTTTGATATATCGGAGAATAGGGAGCGATATTGTACACACAAGTTTTCTGTTTTCCAGTTTGGCTAAGGTTTTGCATGCAAATTGGTTTTGTAAAAATTACATAATGGAATAGGTATAAACCTAATATACTTATTTATGAGCATAATAGAAGTCACTATTAAAGGCTAATTACTCTATAATGGATTTTGACAGAATTATGACCCTTTTAAATATAGAGAATTCTTCATTATCTAGGTTCTTGTTTAGCTATCAAGCATTGAAACAGTCGAGCACTCTTTGATGTCCTACTGATAGCTCTTGTTAATGTGCATGATTTTTACACCATGCTAACCGCTAATTTTAACGACACCCCCAGCTAACTTATTTTCAAAACATAACACACAATCGAGTTAGAATCAATACGAAACCAGTATCCTTACGCGGAAAACAACATATCGTAGATCATCGAAATAGTCATATCCTTTTATACAAGAATGACTCTATCACGTGTTTTTGTGCATTCACATCTGCAGAAGTTAAATCCTGAGCCCATAGGACGAGGGCTTTAAATGGGTCCTCGCGCTTCTGTAGATGTTAATGCATGAAATAGAGGATATTGAATGAGTGTAAGTTCAATACTGAATTTATTGCACGAGTTGAATAAAATTATATTATGCGAGCCTCTGGCGAGCATAATATTATTTTATTCAACGGGTGCAATAAATTCAGTAATGAACTTATACGAATTTAATATTCTATTTATCACATACCCAAACTAAAGACCGTTTAAAGTGAAATGAGAGTCATTTTTCATTGACGCGCCTATAGTATAACGCTAACATTTAGCGCGTCTTTACACTATGTTTGTATAACGCTAATGACGTCACGTCAAAATATATGCACGGCCGTGCAATACCATATTTACGGCGTCGCAAAATCGGCACGGGTGTGTGATAAAAGCTTATAATATGTATTCCAACCAAATGTTCAGTATTAATTATACTTGTAAGTGCAGGAAGACGTATGGGTTTCTTCTCCTGTCAATTCTTTTTAATAAATGTAGTTTGCAGCATCCCTGTGACCGTCTTACTGCAGCTGCTAGTTCTTTTTTTCATAAGTAATTTGAGCAGCATATTTTGTGTCATAGATCACGGAATCAGGCATTATTTTGGCAAGGTCTAGTTATTTAATTAGAAAATCAGAATAATATTGAGCTAATATACATTAGTCATTCATGATTTAATATGAGGTCAAGTTTAGACTTTACAGCTCTTTATATTTGATAATTTTGATATGAGATTCCATTTGTAAGATTGAACTACTGCGAATTTAAGGGCTGCATGCTAGGAGCAACACTCTAAAATTTCTTATTTTATAGTACAGAAATATTGCCTAAATGCAGGATATTTTGTAATCAATAACAACGAAATGTTTTATAATTATTTATTGAATATAGGCTGACAATTTTTGAACATATTTCAAAACCTACTCAATCGCTGGCAATAAAGAAACTTTCTTGTCGGTAGCCGCGAATTATCTCATAAGGTCATTTGTTAATAATGATATTCATAATTGAATTAGAATACATTTAACATGATAATTATTATTTATAATACAACATTTTTAATAAAATAAATTATGATTTAACACTTATACAAATTCCTAATGTAATATCAATATTAATGAAACGAAGATGGCAGAGTTCTTGACGGTGAGGAACTGAGACTGACTTCTTGTTGGTATAGATAATTGCCTATTAACATGGTTCAGAACGAATTCATTATGTTTTTCATGTTAAAAATATTAGAAATTGAGATTAATAAATGATGAATTAGTGAAATTAATTGGTATTTTTTCATTTTTACTTCTGGTCGGTTCTTGTTGCTTGCCGGTAATTAGGGAGACCGGCATATTTATATTGTTTACACTCAATAATCGGCGACAATGACATAACCAATGCAGATAAACACCTGTCAATTGCCGATTTATGTATGCTTACGGCGCCTCCATTCATATATATAATGATTCACATTTACTTAATAGTTTTGCCAGCAACGGAGTTGTGCTAAAAAATGTCAATTTGATTAGCCCTTAAAGCCTTCGGAATTGCCTCGGCTATTATCTATAATAATATCGGAAACAATACGGATTGAAAGAATTTCTACCACGTGGTTTCAGGTGAAATAATGTAATTACTATTGTACCTATGAATCCACTTATTTTAGGTGGACTTTTACAGCATATATTGGAAATAAACTTGTCAACAACTCCCAGCATTAAACTACTATTTGTTTAAATGTTTAGTTTCTTAGCGCAGGTTAGACCGAAATACCGCATCCGTTCTGTGTGTTCACACTATTGTGTTCGAGGTCCTCAATATCCAAAGACTGACGTAAAGGGCCGAGTAGTTGCGATTGCCCTTGAAGCAACCTACTCACCTGCGCATCGGTCGAATGTTCCACTATCGCTCACTTCTTACTGAAATAATGTGAGTGTATTCATTGAGCTGCGAAGGGAGCGTAGAAGCAACCATGCACTACATCTGTATTAATAAATGCTTGCAGTGATAAAGAAAATAGAACAATATATTTTATCAAGACGTAATAAGACTGATTTACTGGGAGAAAAATAGTTGAAAGTATTTTGACGGGTATTAATTGAAAAATAGATACACAGTCAACTGTTTAACGGAAGCGGTCAGTCAGCTGTTTCGAAAATGAAAGTACACACCAAAAACGCTTCAAATTTTCATTCTCTGCGTAATTAATTTACAGTGTGCGTAAATGAACGCAACAAATTGGTAACCTTGTGCTTTTTTAGTTGATTTTGAAGCGTAAAATACGTCGATATACACGTTATTTGGAACTATTGACAATTTTTTAGGAAAGTTGGTATGGAAACAATACTTTTAGAATGTAAACAATACTTTTATAATTTAGGTTGCGTGGCCTTATTTTAAACCCCAGATATTCCATATTAAAATAGAAAACATCCTTTCTGAGTATTTCCCAGGATATTTAGACCTTAACAGTACCATACGTGGGCTGTGTTACCTAGCTTTTAACCACTGATGAACTATATTTAAAATTTCTTCTGCTAAGGTTTTAATATATTAATGAGTTAAAATTAGGAAAAGCGACATTTCCAACATTAACTTTAAACGATATTCGTTTAAATAGATTTTTCCTATCTTTTCTAAAAAAAATCAACACTTTTTTGATCTCGGTTATTTCCCTAAAAAGTTGACTGAAGAATACATCATCCCTACACACAAAAAAGTGATACAGTCAAACCTACCGTGTATATCCATTAACGCAGGAATGTGCAAATAACGCAGACATTGTGCAAAAGTAACAATGAATTGTGCAATTAAGTGGCAAAAACGAGCACCGCGATAAGTAAATGGACCAATACTTTTTATTGTACACCAAATTGGAAGAAATCAATAAACGCATACGGTTGCTGAGACATTATACATTAAATATACCTCATCAAAAATATTTCTATGTAAATGTTTATTTTACAAGATCATTCGTGAAAATGACGACGTATTGATGGAGATTTTTGGTTTCGTTGATATCTTTAAATACATATATTTACCTTTTTTATATTCGGTGTACCTGAGACATTTTCCAATCTACTTGTGTCATATTACACTTAATTTAGCAGGTAAAACGTAATTGAGATCATTTTTACGAGGTAAAGCCGAGTTCGTGAATGAAGCGCTAAAGCAACGGCGGTTATCTCATTTAAAGTAGCTAAATCTTAACATACCATATTCCTTGTATTCTTCTTATACGACACTATTAATTTGATAAATGTCTATTATTTTGATAAAAGGTAAACAGAATATGAAAAAGGAATGTTTTAAAGGTGTTATAGATAAAACACAAAAGTCACATTAAGAAAGGTTATCAGGTTGTCTTCCTTACGATTGACCTTAAGAAGTAAACATATTCCTGAAAAAAAAATGTAACGCTGGTCGTAGCAGCCGTATATGATCATTCATTTCTTTAAATTTAATTTAGAATAAAATATTTTGGTTCGTTTACTTACTGTGTTATTCGTATTGGCAATAGCGTTGCACAGATTCGGTGTACTTTTACGTTATTTGCACACTCTTGCTTTCCTTGATATGCACAATGGAACCTGGAAATTATAGACCAATTACTTTGTGAAGTACTATAGACTAGCTAATTACTTTTGAATTACCGATTAAAATTTTGGGCTGAAGACTATAATGTGCACATTGAAGCACAGGTAGGTTTCCGAAAAAACATGGGAACCATTGATAATATTTTCATTCTACACGGATTTATTACTCCAATGCTTAACAATAACACAAAATGTTTGTAGCCTTTATAGATTTTAGCAAGGCATTTGACTTCAAAATCTTTTGTAGTTTTATGGCATGATGCTACACTCAAACTATCTAAGCTCGGGACTGACGGACGGACAAATTTTGATGACAAAACTCACCTTTGAGCTAAAGCCCCCCTAGAAAATAAATCAATAAATACATATTTTGTTTATTCCTGTGACCCTGTCAGTCGTTATTCAAATTGTTACCTATTAACTTATGAAAGTAACTAAAGAGGTTAACATTTATCAGCAGATTTTACGTAAGAATTGGTCAGTTTTGGTCAGTTTTGTCATGCGCTGTCTGAATGGATTGTATAAAAGAACGACACAATCAGTGGCAAGTATTGTTTCTTTTGACCGACAATCTACAAAGGTATGTCTTGATTTATTTTTTTTTTATTGGTATAAGGTATATTAGAAGTGGATAGTTACATTACTGAAGATAATATTATAAATATGATGAAAACTGGAAGGTCTGGTATATTTTAGTGAAACAGTTAACAACACAAGAATGATTGATTCTTTTGAATAGAATTATTAGTTCAGTGAAGAGATGCTTATTTATTAATGATTTTGAATATGTAGAAATAATTTATCTGGAATAGGCATTTATACCATTAATACGAGTTTGTTAGAATTGTTTACTCTATAACTACGACCACAATGATTAATTGCATTAAAATTACAATGTGCTATGTATAGTTATTTAGATGGATTAAATAAATAAGATTACCGATTATAGTCATTTAGATTAAATGAATAAATAAATTAAAATCAGTGTTGTGAACATTTTTATTATAATTGGGATGTAAAGATTTATTTCGGAATATTACAACATTCAAGGTGAGCACGACTTCAAGAGTTAAACAAGCTGAACAATCACATACAATGAATTAATGCTATATTTCATTAAACATTAATATTATTTTAAACAAAGAATATACATATTATTTTTAACAAAGAATATATAATTTATAAGTATAAAGTTCTATTATATATTTTATGCTAATTCTTTTTGTATGAACGTACATAAATAAACACAATTGTTACATCGACAATAGTTTTGTTAAAATTATGTGACACTTGTATATTTTTGAATATTAGATACAATTGGTTATGTTTAACCATTAAAATTACTTGTCCTCCCGTATAATGTAGATCGTTTTCATTTTGCTTTTTATCTAATATCATAATGTTTTTATATGAATTCTTTTTGTTAAAGCAAGACATCATGAAATTTGCCCTTTGTCTCCTGGTAGTTTTGCCTTTGGCTTTGAGCGTTCCTGTCAATGTTGACGAAAAACGATTTATCTTCGGACACATTCAATTGCCATCAGGTAAACGTACATTTGATCCACTAGCTTATGTATTGAATTAAACAAATATTACCGATTCAATCGTCAATTAGGTTAAATATTACCTTTTACTTTACCACTTTCAGCCAAAATATCCTATATATAACGCTTACAATATGTTTTTCGCTTATGCATTCAATAAAAGATTAAGAAGAAAATTATTAAAATTCTTATATAGGAATAGTAAATTCGAGCCCAATACTCGAACTTTGATTTAAAAGCTACATACTTTTGTCTAAAACAAACTTGATAAGATAATGTTTAAAGGAAAATGATCAACAATAAACATCAACAGTTGATTGTCTGTCTCTTTTCTGTGTAAGTAAAGGTTTATAAAATATGACAATTGTTTTTAGTTCATGACCTTGGGCAAAAGATTATCAGTTTGCTCGGATCCGACACCTCAGAAGCTGCATGTGAAGCCGCCTGCCCAACTGCACTGAATGCTTTAGTCCCAGGAGCCAGCTTGATCGGAGGAAGCCTGTGCGGTCCAGCTTGTCATTGGTAAAAAAAGTTGTCATGACTCTTTCACATTTTGTCTGGATCCATCTTCGTTTATATCAAAAGTACGATAAACAAAATCAACAAGGAAAGACAGCGTTCAATGAACGCAAATGATCAACATTTAAAACATGTCTATGTTTAAAGAATCTTTTATACATGCATCATATCATATTGTATAACGTCATAAGAATTGCTTGTTGACTATGATTATTGTGATTATAAGGAACTATTTGTTGCATTTTTAAGTATTAATATCCGGTATTTTTATCTTTTCAGGGTACAGAGTCAAATTAATGGTTAAAACATGATGTATTGCGTTAGTATTAAACATTAAAAAAAAAGATTTACATTAACTTTGTTTGATTTTTCAAAACTTGTTTCGTAGCGTGAAACAAGTAGAAAATTAAAGCTAAACAACTATTTCTCTTTATCCGAATGATCTCAATCATATTTAAAATACCATGCATAGCATAACGGACTTTGATAAAATTATCATTTCTCTCTATGCAGACAACAGTGTTTGTTTGTTTGTATGGGTTTTATGTCACACCGACACATTATAGGTCATTTGGCGACGTTCCAGCTTTACTTGTGGAGGAAGACCTCAGGTGCACTTCCGTGCATTATTTCAGGGATGAACGGGAACCACCGACGTTCCGTAAGCAAGTTGGATAAAAATTAAATAACGCTATTGGTTTCAAGACAATACTACTGTGACAAAATATGATAAACATGATCAACAAGGAAAGGCGGTGTTAAAATCATGAAACTTTTATCAAATTTATATACACCAACGTCCAGAATAGACTCAAAATAATTACAATTTATTTGTTTCCTTACGTAAATAATCTGTATGTTTCAAATATACAAATCTCTCTTACAATATATTGTCCTAAAAATGGATTTAGAATAGTCTTTGATGATCCTGTCTACCTTGCTAAGAAAGACCATGTCTATGAAAAGTGACATTTTTTTCTGAGTTTTGGCAGACCCTTCTCCTACGCGCAAAGCTTGAAGTTCACTGCATCTTTCAAAAGTTATAGCAATCAGAAATGCTGTCTTCCACGTTAAAATAACTTTCCTACTTTCATTGGTTCAAATTGGGGCTGTTTCAGCATCTGCCAAACAATAGGTAAATTCTATTCAGGAATCAATTAAAGCACCTTTTGAAAAAAAATTAGGACAAATATTAGGTCAATATTTAAGAAATTTTTAATGCTAAAATTAGGAATTTTATGGTAAGTAAAATAAATTTTAGGGCTAAAATTTTGAATTTTATTACTAAATTATGACCCCAAAAGAGCATGATATGGACTTAACTTTGCATATTTGACACAAAAGTAACTAACAAATAATGCTCTGGTTCAGTGTTCTTTAGTCAACAGTGAATAAATGGATTCACTGGTCAACTGCCTTTTAACTGCCTTCGCTGAATAATAAGATCTGAAAACTACATTAAAACATAACTAGAATGATTTTTTTTTAATTTAGAAGTGTCCCGGAACAACCAACATTCAATAAGTTAAACTGTTATTAGCCAATAATGAATGGAAGGGGAAATTATGTTTTAAATTTATTATAGCTATAAATGCATTTATCAACATTATTCATTTTAAGGTTGGTAGATTTTCAACAAGTCTTGATCTTTCTTAGAAAAAAAATAAAAAATATGACACAATCAGGTCATTCCCAGGAATATTTTTACCTAAATTCAGACAGCAGGGTAAACACCACTAACGAATTTTTTCAAGATAAATCAGGGCTACAAAAAATTGTAGAAAATTTTACACTGTATCAGCGCAAAAAGGCCTAATGCATTCCGACTTGGTGCCGGCCTTGTATTTGGGCTACGGCCATGAGACTTGGTGGCTGTGTAGTCAGTCCTCTACAGTGTCCAACAGTGCAAATTGCAAGCGAATCGGACCTACGGTTCGAACACAGTGCCAATTGTCGCACCCGTTTCCATTTAGAAAATTTCAGCGCAAACGTATATAAAAAAAAAAAAACGAAGCGAAAAAGGCCTAATGCATTCCGACTTGGTGCCGGCCTTGTATTTGGGCTACGGCCATGAGACTTGGTGGCTGTGTAGTCAGTCCTCTAGCAATTCCAACAGTGCAAATTGCAAGCGTAAAACAGTATCAGCCTATACAACGATTTTCAACAGTTTTTTCCTGATTCAAAAAATAAATTTCACTAAATGTTATAACATAGGTATAGTACATTACATTGGCATGACTAAAATTTATAAAATGGCAGCTGAAGGTGTCACTTCTTAGAAGTCTCATTTGAATTCAAAATGGTAAAAGCATAAAATCATTACGGCCAGCTAACCTTCCCCACTTTATAATATTACCAAATATGGAAACTTGTCTAGATCTGCCAGCTGGTATAACTTACAAAAGATCTATTCTAGAGTCAACGCCTGAAAATAACTTCATTACAAATTAACATTTTATTATCAAGACCCCTACATAAAGTCTGATGAATATTTAATTGTACAACATTTAATAGTTGTTTTAAATACATCCAAGACTACGGTTAATGGTAAAACTCTGTAGCCAATAAAAAATTATTTTGCTATCTCTATTTTAAACATTTAAGTGACTATTTTGATATAGTCAAAGTCTGACAATTTTAAAACAACAGTTTCTTATTGTTTTTTCTGATAACATCTGACAATAGGTATGGCATTTTCTGCAGGAGTTGAAGTAAATACAACGCGTGACTTTTTGCAATTAAGTCAGACATGACATAAGCGCCACTGACTTTGTTCAAATTTAGGTTGTGATTCAAAAATGGTTGTTTCGGTATAGGTTTATAACAAAAGATAAAAAATAGGAATTTAAGTGAAAAAAGGGTCATTTTGAGGAATTCCCTTTCATTTTGTTAAGGAATTTTAGCCAAACTGAAGAAAACTAGTACTTTTTAGGAATTTTAGGGACGCTGGACAGCATGCAATTTACATTCAGGAGGTTTACTACATAAAATGTCTATTTCAATACAGCAGTATGTCAATAGTGAGTGTTACAAAATGAATTGCTGACTTTATGTCATCTCTCTCGACATATGGTTCTTCATCATTTTAAGGCTCCATGCACTTTGTTATGAAGTTTGTCACTGCTTCATTGAAGCAGTATGGCCCTGGGTGCCCATGTATCATGGCAACAGGAGTTGCTTTGACTTGAAAGAGGTTATGCTTTCTCCAGAGTTTTTCTGTATCGAAATGACCCATTTTCCAGAAGGTCAGAAAAGTCAAACAGAAATGTGAAAAACTCTGCGTATATTCAAATTCTTCTTCCACTATAAAAATGACCCTGAAACTCCCTTCCCATTGACTGTCAGATAATTCTATCTGTTCCTTTGCAGTCATCATGAATTGATGACGTACACTATCAAGGGTACGGGGTGTTTCTTATTCATTTGTCTTAAAAGACTATCAATACCTTAAATGTATTATGAAAACAAACACAATGAAACAATATTCAATTGGTGATGTAAGTGATTGAAAAATAATTTATATAAGGTATCAGAACAACAAATGCTGTGGTGGCATAAAAAATGTGACATTTCAGTTACTATCCTTGTTTGAGTTTTGATTCTTACCCAGTTTCATAAAAGACTTGCCTCAGATTTTGAACTGGGGAACAATGTAAGTCATATATTTCCTTATTCAGAATAACTAAATATATTTATGCCCTTATTATATATAAAAGAGATGTTAATCCTGAAATCAATGTTCCCTCACCACATTATTACATTATCACTTTTTATGGAAGAAGAATTCTTAAACTTACTGCTCAAAGCCTTTAATCTCTGCTTTCTTGTCTACACACATCGATAAGAAATCTCTATGTGATTCTTATGACATCTATAAGTTTAGAGCAAACGGGAGACTCCTCAGTCACAGTCTTGCAACATATAGACCTTATATCAATCAATCAACCAATTCATCCATCCATCAATCATAAAGTTGACTGGAATAAACGTTTTACATGTTCATTGCCAAGTTTAATGATTTGAATATTTATAATTTACCATAAGCATAAGTATATACAACTACATTCATTTATATCTAAATAATGTAAACATTATTTACAACTATAACTCTGCAAGTCGGATGTGGCCCTTTGTCAACAGTATTGCTGTCAGGCATTTTCATCTGAAATACAGGTTATTTATAAACACTGATCTTGCAATGTGCATGTACCTTTAATTTTAGTGGCATTCGTACTGATAATAACAATGTTACGTCAGGATTTACAAAACTGTTATATTATCAAATATAAAAATACACTGGAAATATTTTAAACTGACAGATCAAATGGAGGACTCTAGCCCACTGCGCTTCGGGTAATGAAAAAAACTTCCGTACCAAATTTAGAGTTAATCAAACTTATAGTGATCAAGTTGTGCTTAAAATCATGAAGTACAGAGTACTGGTTTTTATTTCACTGCCAATGAGATATATCATCCTCTTAAGTTTCAAGCTCATAGCTTTTATATTTAAGGAGAAATGGCCAGGACAAAAATAAAGTTTGAAAATTAACGAAGGGCAATAACTAAAAAAATCAAGAGTGGAGATAAACGATAATTGTGCACTGCACTTCAGGTCATTGAAAGAAGCATGTATACCAAGTTTGGAGTCAATCCGTCTGATAGTTAGTTAAACTTCGAACAAGCCTAAAGTGACGACGACACAGACACCGCCTTTTTCAAGGCGACACAAAAAATGGCTTTTAGTACTAAAATAATCTAAGAAATAAGACTACTCAAATGTTTAACATTGCTGAATGTAGATTTGTGGCACTGGGAAATATATTAGAAACAATAGTAATTACTATTGACTGATACCGCAAAACATGAAAAATCATGAAATCAATGTAAAAAGGGCGCATATTAGCGTAAAATTATGATATAGTTTTTTTATTGTATACAAGTCCCTTTAACTCAAAGTCTTGCTTACTTGAAGGTCTAGTCCAAATTGTCTAATGTTTATATCAAACCATTTAGGAGTGACACAAATTATAAAAAAATATATAAAATCTGAAGGCAGGGGTATATGCATGCCAAGTAAAATATCAGACCCATCAAAAGTAAAATGAATATTTTGGATATTCTAAACTGCATTATGGCAAATTTGCTAAATACCGTTAATTTCTAGCTATTGTAAGCGTACTCTCCTGCGCATCGGTCGAATGTTCCACTATCGCCCACTTCTTACCTCTGCTTAAATTGTAGGTTCAGACCGATATTTCTATTTTTAGACAGGAAAATCCGTGTATACACTCCAGCCAATCAGTGACTAGCTTACTTGTAACGAATTGTAACATACCTGAATTTGACGCACCGTAATGTAAACAATGCGTGTTCATTTGTACTTTACTTTAAATTGTTTGTTTTAAACGTTTCTATTAAATGACC